TTGGTTTTGGTACACCATGCATGCCTAGCATACCTACCTTGTAATGCCATGTTTAGGCCTTAACATGCCTTAGGTTGTAAACCATTCTCCTCGCATGTTTTAGGTCTAGCTTTGTGAAGCTTTTGTGCTTATTTTGCCATGTTTAAGGTCTTTCCATAGTTGTTTGGGTCGGCCATGGCATGCATTGTATAGCCCCTTTGCATTTTTGGCTTGTTGGCCTTAAGTGTATGAATGTGTAGCATGCATCCTTGCCTTAATTTAGTGATTCGGGACCATTTGCCGTGTTATTTCAGTCCCTTTAACATGCTTGCATGCTTGCCTTGGACACCTCTTTAATGCTTTGAAAGCTTGTGTAGCATGCTCCATGTTTTGGCATTTGTGCATGCCTTTGAATTTAGGTCATTTGGATGCCATCTAAGTGATCTTTAGGCCTTGTCTTAACATGCTAAAACTCTGTTTTTGGTCAATAAGTTCATGCCATGTTTGGTCTTGCTAAGTGTAGTTCAATACTTCATTAGTTTGCTTTGAATGCTTGGGCCATTTGTTGCATGTTTAGCCTATCTTGCTTGCTTGGTTTGGCACCATGTTCTCGCATGATTTTCAGAGCTTAATGCATGTCATTTGTCCATGTTTGTACCCTCTTGAGTGTGCTTGAGAATTGCTCTTTAATGCTTAAGTGTTGGTCCTTGTGTGCATGCATGTTTGCATGTCATTTAGCCCTCATTTCATAGCACTTTGGCCACTGTTTTAGGCGTAGTTAGGACTGCCCAAATCATGTTTAAGTCCATCTCTTTGTTTGTTGCATGTACTCCTTGTATGTTGTAGCATATTGGTGAGTTGTTGCATAATTGAACTTGCATGATTGGGTGAAGTCACATGTTTGTTTACATGCTTAAACACCTACATTGTGCCTTGCATACTTGTTGGTTGCATTATCTCATGTCTTGCATGTCTTGTATGCTTGTTTGCATTACCATGTTGCATGCCTAGTCAACATGCTTAGGTTGCATTGCATGCATGCTTTGCCTCTTGATCATCCATGATTGAGGTTGGGTTCCTCATTTGTTTGTTGGTTTGCATTGCATTTTGAAATCAACATGCATAAATTGGTCCCTTGGGCCATCACGCATTGAAATGCGCGATTGTTGGTCCGAGAACCAAGAAGCATGTCCCCTTGAGTCACTAACATGATAAGGGACATGATTGGTGCATATATTGCTTGAATTGTATTGCCATGCTCTGCCTTGCCCTCTGTTGTTGTCAATTGCAGATTCTGCAGGAGCTCTCTGCCGATCGGCAGTTCTAAGTGCCGACCGGTAATCCTCCCTCTGCCGATAGCTTCACCAATGGCCGGTGACCACATACCACTGCCGGTGGAAATCCTACTCAGCCGGTGATGTCTCCCAATGTCCAGGGAAGCAATCTTGAGACTGTGGAAGTCTCCAGAGGAGTATAGCAAGGAAAACAGAGGCAGCCTAGGCATGGCAGTGCACTTCCGAGCAGGACCGAGCATGCATTGCATCGAGCTCTCTTCCCGAGGCGGTTTACTATTTTTCCTGGCTTAGTTAGTTTGTTAACTAATTAGGTAATTTGTAATAATTAATTAGCTAGGATAGTTAATTCATTATTCGATTTGTAATATTCTTTCGGTCCCTCCAAGCGAGGGTGAATTTGTAATAAGTGTGGGTGAGTGTGTGTGCATGTCTTCTAACCCCCACTTCTTTCTCTCTTTTACTTACCTGCTTTGATGGTTAGTAGTAGGTCATGTTTAATTTAGCATACCTTATGCTATGCATGCGTGCATCCATACATTTGTCTTGCATGCACCGGGCTCGGTACATCATGCTAACCGCATTCGTACTTCAATTCCAAATTGAATACGTGCATCAATTAACTGCATTTCACATGCCATGCTTAGGTTAGCCGAGCCTATTCTAAGTGCATCCTGTATGTGTCGCATTAGGCAATTTCACATGAACTAGGACCATGCATGTTGGCTAACTAGTTTATTGTTTTGGCACGGAGTACGATGTAAGTATTTTTTATGCTTTAGCATCCTCACATGTGTGTGTATGCTATCATGACAGCATGTTTACCATGTGGCTAGATGCTTATGTGATAAACTGTTTGAATGCCTGTGGGTGAAGGTTGGATTGTCTGACCAGATCCGTCTCATGTCATAGACTATCATCACATCGTAATTGATGACAAATTAACCTATGAAGAAAAGCCAATCCAGATTTTGGATCGGCAAGTAAAACAGCTACGGAATCGAGAAATCCCAATGATAAAAGTAGAATGGCAAGAATATTACGGGACCAAAGCTACTTGAGAAATAGAAGAGGAAATGCAACACCGATATCCGGAATTGTTTCTATCATAAGGTAAAATAAGTTTGAGGGACCAAACTTATTTAAAGGGGGGGAGAGTGTAATAACCCGACTCTCTTATATGTTTTCTGGTATGCTTTCAGTCTCTTATTATGTGCATTTATCTGGTTAATGTGAAATTCCATGTGAAATTAAGTTTAATTGTGTGAATTACATGGTTATGGATTTATATCCCCCATTTTAAAATATTTAGGTGGCGACTCTGTATCTGGCAAAGCAGTCCATGTTTGGCACTTCTTTTCAAAAAAATTTGTTTCTCAAAACGATTTGCCGGATTTGGACTCTTTGGTTCAGATTAAGAACCGTGACAACAAATCGAGTCCGAACTGTAGCGAGGGCCCCTCGCGGGCGCGTGCTACAATAAGCAACCTTTAAATAAGCCTTTAATATTTTAGTTGGTCACTTGTTATGTGGTAAGAACAAAATATCTCCTGAGAGAAGGAGAGAGAGTTAGAGAGGAAGAGAAAAGAGGAAAGCTTCAACAAGGAGGAAGATTGGGGAAGTTGAGAAGGATTGTAGAGATTTGAGCTCAAGGTAAGTATAACCTACTTTGAATGACCTCTCTCTTGGACTTGAGTAAGAATTTCTTGTCAATTATGCAAGCTAGGGTTTATAATGTAAATCAAGTGTGTTTAATTGATTAGTTGGAAGGATACCTCTTGTGTTTAGTTGATTTGGAATTATTTGAACTATATGGAAGGGAATTACACTTTATTTGTAACCTTGCATGTTGAAACTCATCCATGTGTTTAGATGGTAATATATATATATACATATATGTGGAAGACCAAATATAACTACAAATTTAAGGGAATTGGGTTGTGTACATGAATTGGAAGTTGATGTCAACTTACTTGAACTTATGATTCATGTTATTGTGATATGGAGCCATAATATGGAATTAATTTCCCCCAATTTTATGCCTTAGAATGTGTTTACCTAGTTGGAGATTTGCATTGATTCGAAGTGTGCAAAAAAGGGGTTCCGACTGCACGTGCAGGGCCTATGGCCGCATGTACGGGAAGCACCACCGCACGTGCAGGGCTCACAGCCGCATGTGCGGAAAACAGGGGAACCTGACTTGGAGGTACTGAAATAAAAGCACGTGCGGGGGAGGATCACCGCATGTGCGGCCCACCTTTCCGCATGTGCTAGGGAGGACTGCCGCACGTGCGGCCCAAGGCCAAAATTTATATATGTTTCCCTTCTTCTGTTGGACTCTTTGGTACTGCTGAAATGTGCATTTGAAGCTCTTAAAATGCTTGAAATTAAATGAATGTTGAACGAATCGATTATTAATTCAAAAGAAAAAGGGGCTAATTTATGAGTTGCATGTGTGTGTAGGTCATATACAAGAAGGAACTATCGCTCCGCCATAGCACTGTGAGTAGTAGTACTGTACTGTAGTAATATGTTTAATTACTGCTAATTGTTACCATTTTCATACTGTTATTCATGAATGAACTATGTTCTCACATGAAGAACAATTAGAATTTATGTGAAACACTGGATAAGGAAATTCTTATGGACCAGAGGTCGTTCTGTTTCATTATTGCTGGGCCCGAGGCCGTTCAGATATAAGTTACATCTTATCAGCAACTCTAAGACTGAGAGAGGTGATGACATGCTGATGTCTCACCGACCCTAATGTGATTTGGAATTAATTATGATTCATGGCCTAAGGCCGAGGGAGGTGGTGTACATGTCGATGTACCACCTACCCTCCAATGTTCAGACAGGTGTTGATATGTGGGCCTGAGGCCGTTTCGTATGATATGTTGGGCCTGAGGCCGTTCCGCATGATATTGGACCTGGGGCCGTTCTGTATAAAGATTGGGCCCAAGTCTGTTTTGGAAATATTTACAGAACAATATCAAATATATGACCTATGCGTTTATATACGTTGTAATCCAAGTCTATTCATTTAAATTCTGTACGTACTACTATTCACTGAGCCTTGCTCACTCCGTGTTATGTCTGTCTCTGTAGGTAATCAACGTAGAGGTCAGTGTTAGCCAGGCAGCCTAGTGAAGTTACCCATTTTTGTGAAGTTCCTTTCAAAGCTCATAGCATTGGTCTACCCTTTTGTTAAATGTTGTTAAGCATGTATAACTTTTACTTTTGATGCTTTAGTTGTACCCCAGATATGGTGATGGGACTGTATATATATGCGTGTATATAACTGCCTCTTATGTGTGTGTTTGATTACGTGATGGACTGTCTAATGAAATGTTTATGATCCTGGCATATAAGTGTAGCTCAATGGATGTTGTTTTACTTTGATAATTGCTTTCGTTTAGGCCCCATATTTTATAATTATCGAGTTTTGAGACTGTTATCGAGTCGGTCATGCCCAAACTTTTAGGGGCAAGTTTGGGGTGTGACAAGTGGTATTAGAGCTCGAGTTGCTATCTCACACACGAATTCATTGAGCCTTAGGATGTCTAGAAAAGATTTGGGCATCATGCATGACATTCTTGGTGTATATGAAATGATTGATAGCAACGTGATTTGTATATGTGATATTTGGTAACAAGCATTTCGAAATGATTATTATTCATGTTATTTGTATACCTCTGGTGTATATTGTAATTGATTGTTATGTAGAACATGGTGAGAACAAGGATGGAAGATTCAGAGGATTCTACCTCCGCACGGTTGGACAGAATGGAAAGAATGATAATGGAGATGGCGGAGACTCTACGACAACAACAACAGCAGCAGCCACAACTACAACCGCCACCACCACCGGTACCTCCGCCTGTGGTGCAAGACTATCATGCTGAGGACCAAACTATTACTCTTACAAAGGAATTCAAGAAGATGAAGCCACCAATATTTAAAGGGGGAATTGATCCGATGAAAGCTGAAGCATGGGTATTGGGTGTGGAGAAGCTATTTGAAGTGTTTCCATGCACTGAAGCTCAGAAGGTACAATTGGCTGCTTTCACTCTAGAAGACGAAGCTCGTAGGTGGTGGATGCTTACAAGAACCGAACATCAAGGGTTGATCTAGACCCGATTTCTGGAACTCTTCTATGACAAGTATTTTCCACAGAGTATGCAAGATAAGAAGGTGACCGAGTTTGAGACTCTGAGACAAGGGAATAAGACTGTTGCGGAGTATGAAGCCCAATTTGCAAAACTAGCCCGGTTTGCACCCCACATGGTGGACACGGATTACAAGAAGGCAAGGAAGTTCGAAGGGGATTACAGAATGCTATCCTTGATTGAATCAATGTGTTGAAGTTACCCACATATGTTGATGTATTAGAGAGGGCTGTCATGGCAGAGGGGAATATTACTGCACAGAATCGAATTTCCGAGTGGAAGGGGAAGAGGCAGAATACTCAAGTATCCAACGGGCCAACACCTCCACCAAACAAGAAACTAAATTTGGGAACTTCAAGTGCTTCCACTCCTACTCGAGATTCAGCCCCCATTTGTTCATATTGTGGGAAGAAACACTGTGGGACTTGCTATCGGGTGATTGGAGCATGTTTTAGGTGCAGTAAAACAGGTCATCTGGTAAAGGACTGTCCTCAAAGGAATCAACAAAATGGAAATAGAGCTACTACAAGTTCGGCTAGATCTACACTAGCTCCCAACATCAAGTCAGCTGCAAAGTCTACAAACAATAAGGACACTGCTAGACAAGGAAAGGTGTTTGCGTTGGTTCCGGGTGATGTGCAAAATGCTGCAGCTGTGGTGTCAGGTGCATTTATTGTTCACGGTCATTTTGCTCATGTGTTGTTTGATTCTGGTTCCACCCACTCCTTTGTGTCAAAAATATGTGTTCAAAATTTAGATAGATCTGAGGAATTATTACCTTATGTATTATGTGTGTCTTCACCTTTGGGGGTTTCTATGGTTTGTACTTCTGTTTATTTTGCTTGTGAACTCCTAATTGGGGAGGTCCGGGTATATGGCAACTTGTTACCTCTTGACATGACTCATTTTGATATCATTTTGGGAATGGATTGGTTAAGTGAGTATCAAGCAACTATTGATTGTATGACCAAGCAAATTAGTTTCCACCCTCCGAGACAGTCAAAATTCACTTTCAAGGGACATGGAGTGATCTCTCCACCTTACATAATTTCTGCCATGAAGGCATGCAAATAATTACAGAAAGGGTGTCAGGGGTATTTATGCAGTATCTTGGAGGGGCAATCAATGAATGGGGGTACTGATATGATTCCAGTTGTCTGTGAATTTCTGGATGTTTTTCCAGAGGAGTTACCAGGGGAGTTAGTAGACAGTGAAATTGAATTTACAATTGAAGTGGTGACGGGAACTCAGCCCATTTCTAAAACTCCGTATAGGATGTCACCGATTGAGATGAAGGAACTAAAGATTCAGTTGCAAGATTTACTTGATAAAGGGTTCATTTGCCCGAGCATTTCTCCTTGGGGTGCACCAATCCTATTTGTGAAAAAGAAAGATAGAACACTTCGATTATGTGTGGATTACAGGGAGCTGAACAAGGTAACAATCAAGAATAAGTACCCATTGCCTCGGATCGACGATTTGTTTGACTAGCTACAAGGGGCACAAGTCTTTTCCAAAATTGATTTGCGGTCCGGATATCACCAACTAAAGGTCAAGGCTGAGGATGTTGAGAAAACTGCCTTCCGAACCCGATACAGACATTATGAGTTCTTGGTTATGCCCTTTGGGGTTACCAACGCACCGGCGGAATTTATGGATTTAATGAATCGTGTCTTTAAGCCGTCCCTGGATGAGTTTGTGGTAGTGTTTATCGACGACATCCTCATTTGTTCAAAAGATACTGAAGCTCATGAAAATCATCTCCGATTAATTCTTCAGACACTTCGAGATAAGAAACTGTATGCGAAGTTAAAGAAATGTGAGTTTTGGCTACATGAGGTGGGATTCTTGAGACATGCAATAACGAAGGAAGGTGTTTCTGTTGACCCACACAAGATTGAAGCAATCGTGGATTAGCCAACCCTTACGAATATGACCGAGGTGTGTAGTTTTTTGGGATTAGCTGGGTACTACCGGAGGTTTGTTAAAGATTTCTCCAAAATTGCCATGCCACTGACCTAATTAACTCAGAAGGGTGTTGTGTTTGAATGGACAGAACAGCGAGAATCTACCTTCCGGGACTTGAAAATGAAGTTAACTACAGCACCGGTTCTTGCTTTACCATCTGGCACTGAAGGGTTTGTGATCTACAGTGATGCTTCCTACAAAGGTCTAGGCTGTGTACTTATGCAGAATGGGAGGGTGATCGCTTATGCATCTCAATAACATAAACTCCATGAAAAGAACTACCCCACACATGACCTTGAGCTAGCCGCGGTGGTCTTTGCCCTAAAGATATGGCGACATTATTTGTATGGCACTACTTGTGAAGTTTACACTGATCATAAGAGCCTTAAGTACCTTTTTACCCAAAAAGAGTTGAATATGCGACAGCGACGATGGTTGGAACTTATTAAGGATTATGATTTACAGATCTATTACCATCCCAGTAAGGCCAATACAGTTACAGATGCCCTTAGTCGAAAAGGTATGGGAAATTTGGCAAATTTGCTTACGGGGCAAAAGGAACTATCATTTGAATTGGAAAGAATGAATATAGGCCTTGTGATGCATGAATGGGATACCGTAGTAGCAGCAGTGGTAGTCCAATCGACGTTAATCGAAGTAATTAAACAACGGCAGATGGAGGATGAATCTTTGAACAAGATTTGTGATGAGTAAGCGACAAAACCAAGACCCGGATTCGATTTTGTAAATTCAGTGCTCAAATTTCAAAACCGAATATGTGTTCCCAATGTACCAAGGATTAAAAAGAATTTAATGGAAGAAACACATGCCTCCAAATTTTCAATGCATCCCGGGAGTACCAAGATGTATTGGGATTTGAAGCAAAATTTTTGGTGGCTGAATATGAAAAAGGAGATTGCGGAATTCGTCTCAAAATGTCTACAATGTCAGCAAGTAAAGACAGAGCATCAGAGACCGGCAGGGTTACTGCAACCCCTTCAAATTCCGGAGTGGAAGTGGGAACATTTGACTATGGACTTTGTTGTAGGCTTACCGCGGACTCCTCGGGGTATGAATGCTAGATGGGTCATTGTGGACCGGTTGACCAAATCCGCTCACTTCCTACCTGTGAAAACTCAGTACAACGCGGATAAACTTGCTGTGATTTATGTGAATGAAATTGTAAGACTTAATGGTGTTCTAGTCTCAATTGTGTCAGACAGAGATCCAAAATTTGTGTCGAGATTTTGGCAAAGTTTACAAGATGCGATGGGTACAGAGTTAAAGTTTAGCACAGCTTTTCACCCTTAGACAGATGGACAATCCGAGAGAACAATACAAACCTTAGAAGATATGCTACGCATGTGCATGTTAGATTTTCAGGGAAGTTGGGAGGCTCACTTATCGTTGGTGGAATTCGCGTACAATAACAGTTACCATTCGAGCATTGGAATGACACCTTATGAAGCCTTGTATGGAAGGCCATGTCGCTCCCCCGTGTGTTGGGCTGAAGTCGGAGATAAATCATTACTAAAAAGGTTAAAACTATTCGAGAAAGATTAAGAACCGCTTAAAGCAGGCAAAAGAGTTATGCGGATCACCAACGAAGAGATTTGGAATTTGAGGTAGGTAAACATGTTTTTGTAAAAGTCACTCCGATGAAGGGACATCCAAGATTTGGGAAAAAAGGGTAAGTTAACACCCCGTTATGTTGGTCTATTCCAAGTTCTGGAGAAAGTGGGTTCGGTGGCTTACCGAGTTGCTCTTCCACCAAGTATGAGTCAAGTACATAATGTGTTTCATGTATCCATGCTTCGAGGTTACCTTCTAGATCCGTCTCATGTCATAGACTATCATCACATCGTAATTGATGACAAATTAACCTATGAAGAAAAGCCAATCCAGATTTTGGATCGGCAAGTAAAACAGCTACGGAATTGAGAAATCCAAATGATAAAAGTTGAATGGCAAGAACATTACGAGACCAAAGCTACTTGAGAAAGAGAAGAGGAAATGCAACACCGATATCCGGAATTGTTTCTATCATAAGCTAAAACAAGTTTGAGGGACCAAACTTATTTAAGGGGGGGAGAGTGTAATAACCCAACCCTCTTATATGTTTTCTGGTATGCTTTCAGTCTCTTATTATGTGCATTTATTTGGTTAATGTGAAATTCCATGTGAAATTAAGTTTAATTGTGTGAATTACATGGTTATGGATTTATATTTGTCAATTATGAAAAATATCAGTTACAATTGCGACGTTTGGATAAGTAATTGAGAGCCTTAGAAGCTCGATAATCCGAATTTGACGGTATAATCGTGGTAAGCATGATTTTTAGATCATAATATGAATTTCTGTAAAAATCTGATTCGGAATGATTAAACTGATTAATTTGTGTCTAACCTTTAAATAAGCCTTTAATATTTTGGTTGGTCATTTGTTATGTGGTAAGAACAAAATATCTCCTGAGAGAAGGAGAAAGAGTTATAGAGGAAGAGAAAAGAGGAAAGCTTCAACAAGGAGAAAGATTGGGGAAATTGAGAGGATTGTAGAGATTTGAGCTCAAGGTATGTATAACCTACTTTGAATGACCTCTCTCTTGGACTTGAGTAAGAATTTCTTGTCCATTATGCAAGCTAGGGTTTATAATGTAAATCAAGTATGTGTTAATTGATTAGTTGGAAGGATACCTCTTGTGTTTAGTTGATTTGGAATTATTTGAACTATATGGAGGGGAATTACACTTTATTTGTAACCTTGCATGTTGAAACTCATCCATGTGTTCAGATGGTTATATATATATATATATATGTGGAAGACCAAATATAACTACAAATTTAAGGGAATTGGGTTGTGTACATGAATTGGAAGTTGATGTCAACTTACTTGAACTTATAATTCATGTTATTGTGATATGGAGCCATAATATGGAATTAATTTCCCCCATTTTTTGCCTTAGAATGTGTTTACCTAGTTGGAGATTTGCATTGATTCGAAGTGTGCAAAACATGGGTTCCGACCGCACGTGCGGGGCTCACAGCCGCACGTGCGGAAAACATGGGAACCCGACATGGAGGTACTGAAATAAAAGCACGTGCGAGAGAGGATCACCGCACGTGCGGCCCACCTTTCCGCACGTGCAGGGAAGGACTGCCGCATGCGTGGCCCAAGGCCAAAATTTCTGTATGTTTCCCTTCTTCTGTTGGACTCTTTGGTACTGCTGAAATGTGCATTTGAAGCTCTTAAAATGCTTGAAATTAAATGAATGTTGAACGAATCGATTATTAATTCAAAAGAACAAGGGGCTACTTTATGGGTTCCGACCGCACGTGTGGGCTCACAACCGCACGTGCGGAAAACATGGGAACCCGACTTGGAGGTACTGAAATAAAAGCACGTGCGAGAGAGGATCACCGCACGTGCGGCCCACCTTTCCGCACTTGCAGGGAAGGACTGCCGCACGTGTGGCCCAAGGCCAAAATTTCTGTATGTTTCCCTTCTTCTGTTGGACTCTTTGGTACTGCTGAAATGTGCATTTGAAGCTCTTAAAATGCTTGAAATTAAATGAATGTTGAACGAATCGATTATTAATTCAAAAGAAAAAGGGGCTACTTTATGAGTTGCATGTGTGTGTAGGTCACATACAAGAAGGAACTATCGCTCCGCCACAACACTATGAGTAGTAGTACTGTACTGTAGTAATATGTTTAATTACTGCTAATCGTTACCATTTTCATACTGTTATTCATGAATGAATTATGTTCTCACATGAAGAACAATTGGAATTTATGTGAAACACTGGATAAGGAAATTCTTATGGACCAGAGGTCGTTCTGTTTCATTATTGCTGGGCCCGAGGCCGTTCAAATATAAGTTACATCTTATCAACAACTCTAAGACTGAGAGAGGTGATGACATGCCGATGTCTCACCGACCCTAATGTGATTTGGAATTAATTATGATTCATGGCCTAAGGCCGAGGGAGGTGGTGTACATGTCGATGTACCACCTACCCTCCAATGTTCAGATATCTGTTGATATGTGGGCCTGAGCCCGTTCCGTATGATATGTTGGGCCTGAGGCCGTTCCACATGATATTGGG